GTTTAAGGTGACTTTACCATAATAAATGCCCTAATCATGAAAAGACCCCTTCTCACCCTTTAGAGGTGAACTTTTCTTCCTCACCTTTTGGTTAGGTGAAGTTGCTGCTTCATAAAAGAACATAAAAACAATACGAGTTGCCATGACCTAGCAATCATGCTCCAAGGAAATACACAACCCACATGAGCATATATAATTGTTTAAAAATAAGAACTTTCCCACTAGCCGAGCCTCATTTTTCGATCTAACTCAGGCGATTCGTGACTCTTGAATCTTATTAATGACTTTTAGCAAGATCCCGGATCCGAAAAAATGATATGGAATCCAGACACAAAAATATAGTGTGAGATCGAGACTCAAACTTGAAAATATAATGTGGGACTCATACACAAAAATATAATGAAGACCCAGACTTGGACCTGAAAATATAGTGTGGACCAGACCGATGGTTGAGGGTAAAAATCCAACATGGTTTGGGGCGTAATAACATTTCAAAATATATCTAAAAATGCAACTCGGACCGGAAATCAAATGGCATTTTTAGAACGGCACGAGTCAGCCATGCCCAATAGCCTACGATGATGCCTGGTTCAAAACCCAAAAAGTGCATGATCGTCCAGAATCAACAGTATAAAACACCAACATTTTTTCCTTTTCACACAATTTTCTTTACATTTGAATCGCTCGAATTCAGCAAGCCAACATATTATTTATTATTATATAAATATATTATATAAAATTATTGAAGCCCCTTCACGTGTGGTACATCTTGCATTTGTCAATTACGTTGTGGTTGAAAATCGTTAATTATGGAAAAACTTTATATGTTATCCTTATAACATAGAAATTCTATCCTCTTATTTATCCAACCGTCCATTTTTTGATAGAGGGTTAAGATGGTCTCAATCACAATATTATATCTCTACATTATTTTATTTTTAATTTTTTTCTATAAACTATTTTGATACCAAATTTTGGAAGTCTATTTCTCTATTATTCTAGCTCTAACAAAAAATATAAAAAAAATATTTTCAATAAAATAAAATGACCAAAATATTTTTGAAAGTTTTAAGGGGTAGTTTGATCATTAGTTTTTATTGAAAAATTATGATTAATATTTTTTATAGATACACCCCAATGAGAAGATGGCACGTACAGAATTTCATATTCAAATAAATTGTATTAAAAAAACTAAATATATAAAATACTTTAAAACTCTCTTGATAAATAAAAATGAACCGCTGAATGATGAGGAAAACCAGGGACCTAAACATTGCCTATAACTACCAAACTAAAAACCAACCTTAGGGCATTTTGGTCACTTCCTTAAATATTCGTATTCTCGTGTACATAGTTTCCTAGGGCTGACGTGGACATACGCATTTACAAATTCTTACCCAAAAAAGAGCACTTGCAATCTGGGACTGCAACGTCACACCCACGGGGCCCGCCAAAAGAGCAAGCCATGTCCTACGTGGCGGATCAGCCTTGCGCTTTTTCATACAAAAGGCAACAAAAGGCGCACAGGGGTTTGTGGCTCCACTCGCAGCACGTGTCGACTCTTCATTGGACAGACCTACCGTAGCACGGGGTGTGGTTCCCTAGTGCGGATGCGCTTTTCTCGCAAATCCGAATGAAGATTAGGCCCCTTAATTTATTCATTAAAAGACTCGTTTGTACAAGGTGCGTACCTTATATTATAATTGGGTTGGTAATCTGGATCGCTCACGCACCTGGAATACTAGTTCAATTTTACGTATTCGGTTGGTTCGAGATCGAGTAGTTTAAAAAATATTTAAAAGAATTAGAAAATAAGTGTAGTTAGATATGACCACCTCTGACAGGCTGGTCCTGTTAAAGAACTGGCCACAAGTTCATAAAAGGGACCAATTAAGTCTTATATTTTTTGGGATTTAGATTTTTCTAACTGGTTTTTAATCCAAATCAACCGGTTTTGATACAAATCACCATATTTTTAAGTTTTACACAATTCAAATAAAGCGTACATCTAAATTTTATTGGAAGATATAGTTTTGGTGTTACGAAACTGATAATGGCTTGAAATTTAAAATTTTAAAAATGGTACAGATCATATTTATCTATAAACACTTAAGAATCTCAAAAAAAAAAAAAAATGTTTATTTTTTTCTACATATCCATCATCTTGAAGTCAAGATTAACATGGGGATTTTCTAGCTTCAAAATAATTATTTTTATTAGATTTTTGACGTCCACCTTGCTATTATTGCTATCATAGTATGAGGTTACAATTTTTTTTTTTTTTTTAATCTCGTATAAGGCTAAGGTTACAATCTCATGTAAACTTTTTCTCATCAAATAATGAGACTGAATTTTGAATTTAAATATTTGAGTTTCTCCAAAATTTTAGTCTATATTATTTCGCTATTTTCAAAATAATAATTTTTCGGTATGAGCTGGAGGGTATCTTTCGTTCAAAATAACAATTGTTGGGGACGCCGCTACACGACAAAATAACCAGACGGCGTGAATTCCATTCAATGTGCAAAATGCCCTTAATATTTTATGTTATTTTCTGGAATACCCTAAAAAACTTTTAATTGACGGGAACGTCCTCCCCACGACCTTGAGGGCTTTGTTCTCATTTCACAAGATGCCTTTGGAGGTAAGCTTTGGGAATGATGACCAAACTACCCTCACAAGCTGCCATTGTCATTAATCGCTCAGATGCCCTGGGACGTCTTTGCATGCTTTTTTGAGCGACCCATATTTAGGGAAAATTGACTTACAAACGTCCACCATAAAGATGGACGTTATCTAAAATGCGTTTTGTCCAAAACCAAGATATGGACGGTGCATAAAAATACTAAAAAATTATATTTTTAATTTTAAAAATTTATTTTCCTTTTCATATTTATGATCAGCTAAAATGAAATTTCATAGGAGCCAAATTGAATGGGCCGACTCATAGAAACCCCATCCCAAACTTAAACACCAAATTCTCTTAGGGCTTGTTTGATTTTTTGAATCTTGTCTTTTCAATACTTAGCACTTCCTTGTTTTGATAATGGAGAATTTTTACAATAAAGCAAATGGTATCCACTTGTATATTTAAAGCTAAAAAGTGAGTACCGCCTTCCCTTAACCCTGTAGGACTCGGGGCATCCACTTCTCCAGGATAGCAGTTTTGAAAACTAGGAGACAATTTCTTAAACCACGTCTTTCAAAAATCGAACACGCCTTTAAGAATTTAAGACCCACAATGCGCCAGTTTGGCATCAATTGATGACCCTAACCTTGTGCAGACCAACCTCGAGCTAATCATCATCATTTTAGTCTTGTCCCAATTAATTGATGTCGGTTATATGAATCTTGATTCTCCAATTTACTCTATTAAAAGTCATATCCTTAATGTGGCCATCATTTTCATATTTTTTCGAACAACTTCCAACCACGTCATTTTGGGCCTACCCCTTACCCTTTTTAATCCTTTCACTTGAACTAATTCGCATCTCCTAACAGGTGCTACACTTGATCAACGCCACACATGGCCAACCAACCTATGTCTACTTTCTTTCATTTTATTGCCTATTAGTGTCACGCCTACATTCTCTCGAATAAACTCATTG